AAAATACATAGTGTTGCATTTGAAATAACGAAGTTTTTATGTAAAATAAATATTTAAAATAGACCTGCAATTTTTGATATGCCTGTATACATTTAAGGAAGGAATATCATTTTTCTGTAAAGGTTATTTCTCTACCTTTAAACTCAGCACAAGAACTAATTCTGAAAAGTAATGTACAGGGTGTTAATAATCTATTCTATTGTAGCATGCAAATTTAAATATCTTTAAATATCTCAAAAACCAAAGATTTTAAACATATTTAACCCTTATAATAAATACCTTTTTTGGGCCGAGGAATCTAAAAATGAAATAAAATACCGGGTGTTCCATAAGAAAAAATATAACTTTGGTATGGATCTTAGTTCTGAAACACCCTGTACATTTCAAAATAATTTTAAATTGTGCACATTACCTCCCCACATATAGCCATAAAATATTTTGTATTCTTTCCGTTTTCGTATAATCAACCGAGGCGAATGAGGTGCGCCACCCTGTATAATGTTGAAAACAAAGTTTAGTTAATTTCTTTTTAAACTTGATCGTTTTATATTTATTTTTATATTTATTAACAAAAAAGGAACAAAAGTTGTGAATGTACAGTTACCCAAGCAAATAATTTACTTTTACCAACCTCTCCAATAAATAATTATAAATAATTTCGAAAAAGCTTACTTCGGTAGCGTTAAAAGATTTAATACAATCTATTAACCGAATTAAGACCAGAAACATGAATTGCACCTTTACTCAACGATAACAAATTGTTTACAATTAATTGAATAACAACAATAAACAGTAATAAGCCGTCACTACTAATAATTATTTCTCTTTCAGTTAATTGAAAAATATTTCAAATCAACGTACTTATTTTACGGTATTTGCAAAACTTAATAGGACTACCCGCCACTACTTTTCTGGTATTAATTAATATTTAAAGATATTGAGAAAAAATAAGCCACAGAATACAGAAGAATATCCGCGGAATACAGAGCCGATCTGATAGCTAAAGTCAATTCAGAGTTTTCGGAGAATCAAACAGATATCAAAACTACAAACAAATTGCTCAAACTTCCGACAATAAAAAGAGCAGCATCATCCCCAACGTATTCAACTATTTCCAATTATGATGTAGCCACCTCACATTTATTGATAATCTCTTTGGAGTTGGACATATTGTTGTCTATTGTTGGCTATGCGGGTCCAAATTATCAATGCTAATTTCCTAATATCATGGTACCATCTCAGGTTTAGTCTTCCTCTAGGTCTCTTGATTTCTTGTGGGTACCATGCCGTAATTTTTGAGGTCCATCTGTTGTCCGTCCTTCTTGCCAGGTGTCCTGCCCATCGCCACTTGAGATTTGATTCTGTGGATGACGTCTATTATCTGTGTCCTGTTGTCGTATCCCCTCTAGTCTTTTACGGTCTCTCTTGGTTATTACCAGCATATATTTCGTTCCATTGAGCGTTGTGCGACCTGCAGTTTCCTTATAATACCCGTTTTAGGGCAATTTCGCACCAACACAATCCAGTCTAGTCCCGTCAGATTCAGTCTAGTCCAGTCAAATCACTACAGTCCACTGCTTTCACACCAAACGCGTCCGACGTTTCTTGATGCCATTTTTTTAACGTGTTTTCAGCAAAAATAAGGAGTTTAACAACTAAACGCTTTGAAAATGGATGAGATTCTTAAAGTAATAATTTTACGTCGATTAGAAAAAAGAAGGCGAAGGAGAAATTTATTTTGGATACATCCCATTCATAATAGAAGACTAGTTTTCGGATGTTTTAGTCACTTATTTCCCGATTTATTAGATGATGCCAAGAAATATCGCCTCTTCATTTCTAACCAAAACAATTAAACTTTCCACATTCATTTGTGTACAAATATCGCAAATGACTGGCATAAAAATTCGACCGAACGAATTACTATCAGTCTTGACTTGTCTGGACGTGACTGGACTGTACAGGGTGGGTCAAATTCGACGCTTTTAAATGGAAACACCCTTTTCTATAGGAGATAGACGAAAACTAATATCGATGTCTGGAGCTCAATTTTCATCAAAAACATGATGGTGAAAACCGCACATCAATATCTTTTACCGTTTCGGAGTTACGGGGTGTTTTTCAAAAATGTGCATTTTTAACAAATCGCTGTAACTTTTTTGCTATGGAAAATTTTGTATTTCTATGAAAACATTTCCAAAGCACCTTTTTTACGTAGAATTTAATGGTTTAAGTATAATTTTTTTAAAATTAATAATTTAAGAGTTATCAACAGAAAAATTGATTTTTTATTTGGGACACCCTCTATATTTTTAATTAACTGTCAAGAATTTAAAATTACCTTTCCAAAAATATAGCACACTTGATATTTTGTTATAATCCCCTTCGAAATACAGAATTTTTTGAAGTTCGCCACTTTTAACTAGTAGGCTTTGGACCCCTTATTGATGATATGCCCTTAATGGAACTCGAAAACATATTTTTCCAGCAAAATGACGCACCACCTCTGAACGCTGAAGTTATCAGCAAATTTTTGCAGCCAATTTCAAGAATAATTGAATAACTAAGCAAGATCCCAGCCGTTAGCCGTCGAGGCCGCCTGACTTAGTGCCCATGGATCTAACCCTATGGATATATTTGCGGAAGAATAAAGGTTCCTTATTCCGTATAATCTAGACAAGAATTAGAAATACTTAGCAGTTATGAGAGGGTATCTTTCACCCCCACTGAGTTAATGAATTCCGCGAGAAATGTTCAAAAACTGCCCCGTCTGTCCATAACAGAAGACGGTCGATATGTCGAACACCTGTAGCAAAATTCATGTTTGCTATTTATTTTTATTGTTATTAGGTATAGTTTAAATGTGTTGATGTTGGTTAAATATATTTTAAATTGTTATAAAATTCTGCATCTCTCATAACAAATATTATTTTCGTTTTAATTGATGCTCACAGCTTGAATTTTTTGCATTATAGCCGGTGCCGTTCAAAGCCTACTCATTTAAAGCGGGCAAATTTTTATATATTCTATATCTCGAAGAGGAATCGAGCAAAATATCAAGTGTGTTATATTTTTGGAAAGATAATTTTAAATTCTTTTCAATAAACTAAAAATATACAGGGTGTCCCATATAAAAAATCAAATTTTCTGTTGATAATTCTTAAAATATTAATTTTAAAAAAATTATACTTAAACCATTAAATTCTACGTAAAAAGGTACTTTGGAAATGTTTTCATAAAAATACAAAATTTTCCATAGCAAAAAAGTTACAGCGATTTATTAAAAATGCATATTTTTGAAAAACACCCCGTAACTCCGAAAGGGTAACAGATATCGATATGAGGTTTTCACCATCATGTTTTTGACAAAAATTGAGCTCCAGACACCGATATTAGTTTTCGTCTATCTTCTATAGAAAAGGGTGTTTCCATTTAAAAGCGTCGAATTTGACCCACCCTGTACACGACGTGTTTTGTTTGAAAACAACTTTCGTTTCCGCATTTGTTTTTCTCATGACTGTCCTAGATTGGATTCAGCAACGTCCGACGTGACTGGATTGGACTGTGTTGGTGCGAAATGGCACTTAAGTGTCCAGATTTCGTATAAATTCCGTTTTAAGTATCCAGATTTCGCAAATAAAAAGATATATGCAATAAAAACTATACCAATACAATATCATTGTAACACAATTTCCCGCAAATTGTGAGATTTATAGAACAATTGTACACAATATAACTTCAGTTGTAGATATTATCAACAACTTTCTGAGATAATCACGCAGTGACGGATACAGAGGGGGCCCATGGGGCCCGGGCCCCCCATAAGATCTGTGAATTGGGTTAAATATTAGCCTTTTGGGTTAAAAATAACGCCCTAAAAAGCATATTTGACGTTATTTTTTGTTTGGCCCCCCCCCCCCTAAAGTATAATATTATAGTTATAAAGTAATTCCTGTATCCGCCCCTGTAACCATGAATCAGAACTGTAAAGGTATGTTTGAGCTAAAGTTTCTAAACCCTCGTAGCTTCTTCTGGTTGCTAGATTACCTTAAAGTCACAATTCCTGAATTCCTGTATTGTTCAGATGTTAAATTATTTTTTTTACTATTAAAGATAAAATACTTAAAAACACACACTATCCATTCGTAAAAAAAGTCCGTCAGTTCTAATTCCTGCCATAAAATTGAAAGACAAAATTCATTCCTTTTTAGCATCCGCTGTTTTGTCAAATATTTTCTTTTTTTTTCCTTTGACAAAGCCATTGATATAGAGTTAACCTGAAATTTCTATTGTATTAGTTAATCATCAAAACCATCAAGTCGTACTTCCAGCTAACTTCTATGACGGGGTTAGGTATTTAGATATAAATTCTAATTTCTTGTTATAAGATAAGAAATTTCGGCAACAGCGTACACCAAAAGAGTGATATGTAGTGAATAAATTTAAAATCCAACCATCATTAAAATCATGTCATCTTAAAGAACATTCCTTCGACTCAAATTGTGTTTTTTTTTTGCAAAACGTATATTACTCTAAGATCATACAATCACCGTATATCACAAATTCTAAAAATGAACACACACATACAGGGTGTTCCAGAAATAAGTGCAAATATTTTAAGGAGTGGTAGATCTCGATAAAAGAAACATATTTTCTCTTTATCGTTTTTCAAATAAGATAACGGAGTTATTTTACTTTGAAAATTTCCAAAAAAATGATTTTTTGCAAAAAAAATGATTTCCTTTCTTGTAAATTTAATCTAATACCTATGTTGCCATATTATCAAGAAATTATGTTTTTCAACTAAAAACTAAACAAAAACCAAACAAAATTTCAACAAATTTCAAATTTTCAATTTTTTTTTTCGCGAAAAAAACTTCATAAGCGTGTTTCTGGGGTTGAATTATACTACCAGTTAAAATATTTGCACTATTTTTTCTAGGACACCCTGTATATATCAATTAAACTTTTAGTTACGTAATCGGGGCGCTATAAAGTACCTTAATAAACTACTTGAAGTTTTCTTTTTTAGTAGCACTGTAGTTTCCAAAGATTCTGTTCTACAAATATCCCTCGTCGAAAACTATTGTTTTAGTTAATTTCAATAAAATCACCAAACCAACAGCACTGAAACTGACACCCGCGTTCACTTCACTGACCACCTAATCAACATAAAGTGTGGTCAACCAAAACCGAGAAAGGTATTGTAATATTCTATACACTTCTTTACTTCTTCGACTATCGAGTCAACTTACGGGTTGTATTCACGACATACGTTGTAAAGACAAACAAAAAGAGTTAAAGGAAGAGATTGTACGAAGTCACGAGCGCGACTGCAGCGGGCGGCAAGCTTGCTATTTTGTTTGAACGCAAAACTTATCGACGGACCGCGTCCTTCGTATTTCCGAAACGTGAATCACATTTCAAGGGAATTCCGCGTGCTTAAGTATTCTTGAAAGGGGCCGGTCGCGGTCGGCTCTGACCAGCAGATTCTAAATGGATCGCGCTTTGGCTGGTGGGTTTGAAAATTACAGCAAGTATAGCGAGTTGAACTATTGATCGTTCTAAGAAAATTAAGTAGGATTTTAAGATAAAAACTGTGAATTTATATAGTATTTTTAATACCTATTTAGAGGTACCAGCCGTTTTAGTAACTTAACGTATGCGGCTTCTTGAACCATCTGAACCCGCATGAAAAACTGGAACTTTTAGTGCTTTGGACGCTTTTTGAATTGCCTTAAATTGAGATCCTAAATCGTTTTGAAAATAATTTACTACATTAAGTATAAGTATTTTGGATTCATCAGAATATCGCATTTTTATTATTTTTATATCTTATTTTACATTATGACATTAACATGAAATCAAAATTTGACGTAACTTTAAAAACGTGACATCTAACAAATTAGTTATCGACGTTCCTTTTTGTTGGTAATTTTTTGTTTCAACTGATTTATTAATAATAAATAAGGATGGTGTTATTCTAAATGGGTATTAAAAATACTATAGTTTCTATATTGTAGCTAATGATTACATCTCATCGCCTTTCACACGAACATTTTCTAAATTTTACAGGAGAGCTAAAAACAATAGAGGGTTCATTCACCAATTCACCTTCTATTCACCAAGAAGCATATAATGAGAAATATCTACGGCAGCTGGCCAGAAGGGCAGGGCTACAGAAAGTAGCAAACGTCGAGAGGAAGCTAAAACAGAATAAATATCAAAAAATACTAACAGAAGACACCACGCAATATAGGATCGGATCTGTTTTAGTGCTCATGGTATGAAATTAACAAAATAACATCCATCCTACAGGCATTTGCAGATTGCAGTTTCCAAAGTATATCTCTAACAAGCCCTAAGACAGTTGCATCAATGAAATAGATGATAACTATCTGCTCAGATGGATCAAAAAGGGAAAAAACTAGGTTAGTTCCACGAAGACTAAAGACTCAAGATAAGTGAATTATTGATAAAGACACCAGTATCCTACAGATGAAACTGGCAAGCATTTCTATGTCTAGAGGTGGGAAAATGGACTAATTTTTGATAGCAGTTGGAGCAGTAATAATTGCTATAACAGCAGCTTTCCAAAAACAGCTCTAAAGTAGTATAGCTTGGTTTGGTTTTGATTAGCAGCCATTTCTTGAAGCCGAAAGCAGCGGAAAGCTGTTTCAATCAAGTAACCGCAAATGTAGCAGTCTGCTAATTAGTAGACCAACCAAACTAGGAAGCAAGAGCATCAGAATCAGAACCAAGCCCATGGAAACTTAAAATTTATCAAAGCCCTCATGGAAACGTATCGAAGAAACAAGATCTTGTTTTTGTTCAAGCAAAGCACGATGTAGTAGCAATACAGTTTCCAAAGTCTACTACCTCTCGCAATGAGGACAGAATCGTATTCTACAAAATTACCTTAAACAACTCTAAGAAGTATTGGATTGAACCAGACGGTTCCACAGTTGAAGTTTGGCACTCCGTGCCGCCCTTCGCAGTCGAAGAGCTTGCCTCCGGCTGAAGAACCCGTAAGGTGAAGGCTGGAGGATCTGTCTCCATTTTCTCCACCTCTTTAACTTGGTCTTTCCTTAGACCTGACACCGATGTTGTCCCATATCTATAATAGAGGATATGTCCCTCTTTCTCTATTGCTTCCTTGGATTTGAGGTCAATTCCTATTGTGAGGACCTGACCATGACCCTCCTCCCTCGAGTTGATGACTCGCCAACTCGATGTCCTTACATTGAAGTTCTGACCCTGGATAAGCCTCAGCAGGTAGGTGGTGTCTTTCCTCTTGCTCCTCGGCAAAAAGACCGTGATGGCCACCCCTTTAGGGATGTTTTCTCCCTTCACTGCAACCCGTTCCGGCCCTTGCCATGTATACCGTGTATAACCGATTTAGTTTTATATACTTAATATTAATATTAATTAATATAAATTGTTATGTTAACAAATATTCTGCAGAAAAAATATGCTATTATTTCAAGGACACTTCTCCAAGTGTATGTAATTTTTTATTGGTCTACCTGAATTTAAATATATCGTGACTATTGTGACCATCAATCTTAAAAATATGGTTTGCATTAATTTATATTCATGCTACTTTTAAGATTATATCGTCAGGCAATCCGCAATATATAATATTTCTAACAAAGCAGGTTCTACCAGCTATTTATAGATATTTTAAATGCGTTTTAAATAAAGTAAAACTTAAATATGTTTTCAAAATTTTACTTAGCAAAAAAGATCTGTAATACAAAAGAAGTAATGAATGAAATTAAGTATTCATATACGCACTCATAGCTCACATGCTACCACAAAACTAAATTTGCCACAGAATTTACTAAATCAATTGAATTATTCTTAGCTCCCATTAATTTTAAATTTTCTAATATACAGGGTGTTTCAAAACAAATGCGAAAAACTTCAGAGGGTGATTCCTTGTTCAAAATAAAGGGTAGTTTGCTTCATAAACGTTGGGTTAAAAGTCAACCATTAGGGAGATATCGCGGTACAAAGATGGCGGAAAAATAATGTTTTTATTTTTTATCTTGAAAACGAAAAGCGACAGACTAATGAAATTTTATGGAAGCATTACTGTTATGAAAAACACTTTTCTGGTAATTTTTCACTTTTTTAAATGAGTGGAAGGGGTTGAAATATACTACCCCTATCATTCTTGTTAACGAAATTTAAAGAAAAATCTTATCAAACCCATGCAAAAAAATTAATTTGGATAGTTTAGTTTGTTTAGAAACTTTTTTATCTCTTGTGTTTTTTTGATAAAACTCACCGATTTGAAATTAAAAAATAAAAATGTTTTTTGTCATTTTGTCAATTGACATTTTATTTTTTAATTTCAAATCGGTGAGTTTTATCAAAAAAACACAAGAGATAAAAAAGTTTCTAAACAAACTAAACTATCCAAACTCGTTTTTTTGCATGTGCTTACTAAGATTTTTCTTTAAATTTCGTTAACAAGAATGATAGGGGTAGTATATCTCAACCCCTTCCACTCATTTTAAAAAAGTGAGAAAATTACCAGAAAGTGTGTTTTTATAACAGTAATGCTTTCATAAAATTTCATTAGTGTGTCGCTTTTCGTTTTCAAGATAAAAAATAAAAACATTATTTTTTCGCCATCTTTGTACCGCGATATCTCCTGAATGGTTGACTTTTAACTCAACGTTTATGAAACAAACTACCCTTTATTTTGAACAAGGAATCACCCCCTGAAGTTTTTCGCATTTGTTTTGAAACACCCTGTATTTAATTATTCGAGGTAATAAAATATGTAGGTGGCAATCGTTATATTTCTTTGTTCCACTACTTTGCATGGCCATTACTTTCCACCTTTACTTATCGGTTAAAATTTGCATTTCATCGTTCTTAACAAAAGCATTGAATTTTATATTTTTTAATTTTCTTCCACGAAATATAACATGGCATGTTAGTATGATTTATGATCAGACCAGGGCCTATTTTTCATCTTGTCGGGCCCTAAGGCCCAAGCAAAAATTCGGGCCCTCTTATCCAATAAAATTCAAAAATTCTCTTGTTAGTTTGGGTTAAAAAAATAAAACAATAAAAAAATAAAAATAAAAATAATTGTTTTAATAAAAAATAAAAAATGTTAATAAAAAAATAAAAATAATTAATTTTAAAAAATACATTAATTATATCAATCTAAAGCTTATTTTATTTAATTCTATTTCCCTTATCACAGGTAACTGTTTTTAACATTGAAAATGTTTCTGTTATCCTATATAAGGGAGCCCAAATCGAATTAAAATGCTACATTTGCCACACCATGACGTCATATATACAAGGGTATAGGAAATCTCGGCGCAGCGGCGGCAGTCGGCCTGCGCGCGCAAAAACCATTACATCGCTAATTGTTTATTGATATATCTTTATTAGTTTAAAAGCAAAAAATATGGGGTTTGCTTTGATACCTTGTCAAGACATAAGCGAAACTTTTAAATTGTTTCTTTTTTCATTAAGGCCTTCGTTTTTCGTTAAATGAAAGTTATATTAAAAAAAATCTATTTTTAAACCAAATTTTCGCATGACTGAAATTATTATTCACGTTTAAAGTTTTTTTTGGTCATAAGCGCTAATGGAAATGTTTTTTTGTAAATAATTATAAAAAAATTACTCCCTACGAAGATTGGTATTAATATATCGATTTTTGATGATAGTGCCCTTCTACCCGGTCTAATTTTGTACTACTTTCGGAATAAGGGTCCCCATATCATGTACTGTACTTCCATCCCTAAAAAATTCAGCTTGTGACACCGAAGTGAGAGGTAACGTCAAAATAAGCTTTAATCTACCTACATCATAGGTAGGTGTAGGTACTCTAGGTATATTCTACCTAGACAGTAGCTGAACTAGCTGACAGTAGTAATTAATTAGGTACGCGCACAGATTTTTTCGCTAGGTAACTTATTAAGTCGTTAAACAGGCCTATAAAAGCTATAACAACATAGGTAACTAATATTTATAATTTAATTCGAGTTTTAATCTCAAATAATAAATGTTTTTACTGGTGTATTTCTGAAGTGTTCATTATTAAAAATAGATATTCTTCATGTTATGCGAAGTAATAAGTAATGTTTCCGGTGAGACCGCGTATATGTCACCGGATTCTGGTCTCACAAATGGAGGAAAATATACGTTATTGAATAAAGTTTATACAAATCACTTTACCATAACAAAAAAGTAAAAACATGTCATGGCGGAAGATATTCAGGTGGCATTTTACACATTTATCTATTAAAATCGAGATTAAAATAATAAACTTGCGTAACATGTATACACGAGATAGAAAGTTTCAGAATCGATTAATACGCAATAC